CATTTCTATGAGGTCCCTAGAGGAGTCAGATTCACAGAGACAGAAAGTAGGATGGTGGGTGCCAGGGGCTGGAGGAGGGGGAGGGGAGTTAGTGAATAAAGGGGACAGAGGGCCGGCCCCGTGGCTTGTGGTTAAGTGCACGCGCTCTGCTACTGGCAGCCCAGGTTCGGATCCCGGGCGCGCACCGACGCACCGCTTCTCCGGCCATGCTGAGGCCGCGTCCCACATACAGCAACTAGAAGGATGTGCAGCTATGACACACAACTATCTACTGGGCCTTTGGGGAAAAAAAAAGGAGGAGGATTGGCAATAGATGTTAGCTCAGAGCCGGTCTTCCTCAGCAAAAAGAGGAGGATTGGCATGGACGTTAGCTCAGGGCTGATCTTCCTCACAGAAAAGAGGAGGATTGGCATGGACGTTAGCTCAGGGCTGATCTTCCTCACAGAAAGAAAAAGTGGGGGGACAGAGGTTCAGTTTGGGAAGATGAGAAAGTTCTGGAAATGGATAGTGGGGATGGTTCCACAACAATGTGAATGTACTTAATGCCATCGAACTGTACACTAAAAAATGGCTATAATGGAAAGTTTTATGTGATGTATATTTTACTACAATAAAAACATGACTTAGAAGTCAAGAAAAAAAATTATTAAATTATATTTATCTACCTACCTACCTATTTATCTACAGAGAAAGAGCAATTGTTATATAATATTAACATTTGAGGAATATGGATGAGAAAGGACTTGTTAGGACTATTCTCATAACTTGTCAAATTTTTAAAAAACTTGAATGGGGATAAAGATGGCTGCTTCCTCTCCCCCAGGGCCGGGAGGAGAGGTCTCCAGCAAAGGCCTCATCTCGGCATGAGGTGAATAATGGCATCCATCTTTACAGCCTACCAACCACCACCCCACTTTTTCTCACCCTCCTGTCCCCGGTTGCTTGAAATTTTCCTGCCCCTGGCATCTTTTTACCATGAACCCAGCAGCCCTTTCTGGCAACAGAAAATATGTTGAAAGGTCAGGAATTAAAAGCATCTGCCTCTCAGGCTGAGTGAGGACAAGCCCAGGCAAGTCAATTTGGTGGCATCACCTCCCTGGGCAGGGGCACCGAGGATGCTGCTAACCTGATTAGTAACCAACCCAAGGGACCCTCTATGGGGCACAGTAAACCTCCAGTGGCCACTATGACACAGGATGTGCCCAGCCTGGATGCCCGGTGCAGGCGGCAGACCCTCCCCGTGGGTCCTCTCCATTAGTGGGATGGCCACTCGCCCATGTTGACGCTTAGTGGTAGGAAATGAGTTGGCGTCACCAGGGAGCCACAACGTGAGTCCCTTTCTTGACCCAACCTTTGCTCCTCTTGACCCAACTGGGGGAAAAATATAGACTAAGAAAACCAGCATCAGGGCCAGCCCCACGGCATAGCAGTTAAGTGCGCATGCTCCGCTGCTGGTGACCCGGGTTTGGATCCCGGGCGTGCACCGACGCACCACTTATCAGGCCATGCTGTGGTGGCGTCCCACATAAAGTGGAGGAAGATGGGCACGGATATTAGCTCAGAGCCAGTCTTCCTCAGCAAAAAGAGGAGGCTTGGCATTGGATGTTAGCTCAGGGCTGATCTTCCTCAAAAAAAAAAGAAAAGAAAACCAGCATCAAAGACACACACACACCCCATGGCCAGCATCCCCACAGCAAGGCGTCCAAGTATTTGCCAAAGACCCCGACAGGAGTGTCTCTGCTGCTTTATTCTCAGAGAGAAAACCCCAAAGCCCCCTGAATGCCAGTGTCAATGAGAGGAGGGTGTGAGTCAGGAAAAGAGCCAGTTGCCCCCAAACCAACACAAAAGAGCAAAAGCCACCAGCACGCGGAGGACACAGAGGCTGTGCCGTCCACTCATTCGCAGCTCGAGCCCAGGCAAAACTCACCTATGGTGCCTGAGCTCAGGACAGCAGCAGCTCCGGGCAGGACAGGGAGTGCTGGGGAAGGAGGCATGAGGGAACATCCTGGGTTGATGGAAACCTTATCTTGACCCAAGTATTGGTGACACGGGCATAAATACTTTTCACCGAAGTGATGGGGGCACTGAAAAAGTGTACCTGTCACTTTTTGCAAACTATTCCCCAACTCTGCAAAAGCGTAACAGAGGGAGGAGCGGCTATCAAGTTCATTTGGATTTACGAGAAGGGGGGGGCCTGTAATCTAGCTCAATTCCTTGCCTCTGAACACTTGCTGTTCCAACAGGGCCAGCCTGTTTCCCTGGGGGGTGACAGTGCACCCCAAGTCCCATGACACTTTGCAGCGAGCGCAGCCACCAAGCACACACCGTGAAAGGAATGGGGCTCAGGCGCCTCAGACGGCGCATTGTCTACACCCCGTCTACCTGACAAGACCCCGCCGCGAGGCCGCATCTGACTGATTCCCTTGACCCCACAACAAAGACCCCTTTTGTTCTCCGGTTAATATCCTTAGCAGGTCTGTCTAGACTCACTGTGGCAGTAATTGTCCCTTGGTGTCACCAGGACATGTGACTCGGCTCCTCCTCACCCTGATAGGGCAGGGAATGCTCCGGATGGCCCCGAGCCAAGGGGGTCCCGCCCCTCGACATCCACCTGGGTCTTCTAGGAAGAGACCTGCAGCACCGCACACCCACCACCCAAGACCTGAGGGAGACGAGACATCATGAGACACGCAGAAAACAGTTCCTCCTGTGAGAGGTGCCGAGGAGCAGCGCTGTCCTGGGGAAATAGGAAGGGGTGGGGGTCGCCCCTCCATCCCAGAACTCCCACCTTCCAATTGTGGCTGGTGGGAACCAGTTCACTCTTCGCTGGGGCACAGGTTCACTCAGGGCATGATGGGTCAGATAAAAGAGAAGAGAGACACCTAGAGATGCCGAGAGAAAGATGGCAAAAGAAGGGAAGAGATAGAAGGAGAGAGATGGGGAGAGCCCAAGAGACTTTCAGAGAGGCCAAGAGAAACAGCGAGAGAGACAGAGACAGAAGGGAGAGAGACAGAGGAAACGGAGAGATGGAGAGAGAGATGGAAAGAGGAGGAGAGAGAGAGACAGATTGCGAGAGACCCAGAGAAGCCAAGAGAAACTGAAAGAGAGAAACAGGCAGAAGAGAGACAAAGAGAGAGATGAAGACAGAAGGTAGCTGTCCTGGAGAGGAGGAGGGCTTCCTTCCACAGATGACAACTTCTGAAAAGTCAGTTGGGACAGGAAGTAACCACTACTCACTCTGCGGAACAAAACACTCATCTTCAGCCTGAGGTGACACACATCAACTCCTCCTGCCACCCGTCCCGGAGCACACCAGGAACGCTCCGAGGCTATTTTCTTGAGGGATGGATTCGATCCATCCAATGGCTACACCCTTTTCACGGGCAAATTGGTTTCATCCAGGGCAGCTAAAGAGCACCGAGCAACCGCGGCGGCCCCTGCAGACGGCACCCGCCGGAGCGCCACTCCTCGGATGCCAAGTTCTAGAACAGGTGAAACACCTATGGCAGCGATCGAGTTGGCAGAAAGGTTTACACCTGGGGGTGGGAGGCTGGGAAGGAGCACAAGGGGCTTCTGCACCCAGGAACAACGGGGAAGGGCTAGGAATGTTCTAGATCGCGATCTGGACGCGGGTGATGTGAAGGTGCACATGCGCAAAATTCCTGAGTTCCGCGCAGGATGTACGTGCACCTCCCGTTTTCTTAAAAACGGAAACAATCAGATCTGGGGAGGTTGGCGTCCTTAGCTGCAGAATGGTGGAGGATCCTCTCTTCTTGTTTCGTAACTTGAGGAAGAAGTTGAAGGTCTTCAGAGGTCTGGAGAGATGGGCGACTAAAATCTAAGAGACATCTCCCCTCCGGCAGCATGATGAAAAGCTACTCTCCTCCGCTGACGCGTCCCAAAGCTCGCAGGGATTTCCAAAGATTGTTTAATTGATTTTTCTCCTATTTAGATGCAGATCATAGTGTCTGGGGCCCAGGAATTCAGACACACGGCTTTGTGTCCACTCAGCCCCGTGAAGGCTGCTGTCTGAAGCTCCCACAAAGCCAGACACACACGTCCTCAGAAACGCGCTGCTTCCTTTTTGTCTGGGGCTCTGGGGCGCGGGCACTGCAGCAGCGCCTCGCACACGCGCCCATCTGCAGGGTCCCGGACCCGGCCCTCTGGCCCGCTTGCAAAGTGGGGTGAAATTTAAAAAAAAAAAAAAAAAGGAAAGCGGCGAAGACTTTGAGGTCTGGAGTAGGGGTGATAACAAGGAGGGGGCAAATATGGGTGACATGTTGAGGTGTCAACTGGATTTTTCTCCAAATTCAGGGCTCTGCAGTGGAAAGCAGGGGATGCTTTAAATCAAGCGGCTAATAGGCTCAGATTAACGTGAGTTCGGCTCCGGTCTCTGCAGATCTGATTTACACAGGAGAAAACGTTTCTCTCCGCCCATTGTTCCCAGTCTGTCCCTCCAAATGCCCCATCTGACAAAGAAACTGGAAGGCTTTGCAGGTGGACATCCTGCTCAGGACAGCAGTAAAGATCCTCTCCCCCTCCCCCAATATGCAGCCTTCTTCTCCCCCAGCCGCCAAAAGGCAGCAATGAGGGTCACTAAACCCCCTCTACAAGGTTAATACATCCCCCAGTATCCCTGCCTGGTCCCCCCAAACCTTGCTGGGGCATGGGACACTTCTGAGGCAATGCCACTTCTGTTTCCTGGCTGTGTGACCTCAGATCACTCTCTCCGTGCCTCAGTTTCCACATCCATAAAGTGGGCACAAGAATAACTGCTCCTAATCCTGCGAGGGTGGTTAGGCAAATTCAGAGCAGAGCTGGCACTCAACAAACATTGGCTATGGTGGCTACACTCTGGGGAGATGCCGACATCAGACTTCAGTGCTTCACAGGAAGCTTCACAGGAGATGTCCTTGGAGATTCCTTCTTCTCTTTGGTGCCAAATATTTCCAGGGGAGCCCAGGCCGGAGCCGGATCCCTGCCCTCCTGATTCGAGTTACCTGGACTGCAATCCAGCTGGCGTTCACCGTGTGTTCCCCAAAAGGGCCAAACCCTGAGGAAACAGCAAGGGCAGCGTGTCACTCAGAGTGGCCCTTCCCAGCCTGCCCAGGGCCAGGCCGCGACCTCCACCCGAGGACGGAGCAGGGAGCTGAGGGAGCAGCTGCCACCCAGGACAACGTCAGTGCCTGGTCCCGAGTGCTGGGGCACACCCAGTGGCCCTTCAGAGCCCCCCAGCACACTTGTCTGCTCCTAACTGAAGCTGTGGGTCTGTGCTTGTCCTCACCTTCACCTGACCTTCCTGCCGGGCAAGGGGCCAGTGGCCTCCTTTTACCCCAGAAAAGGCTGGCCTGTTCCCTTCTCGATTCTTCCACTATCCTTGACCCAGCCTACAATTATTTTATCACTGTCTGTGTCGGGCCTCTCCCAACTCTGGAAATGCGGGGCCGTAGGCATTCCGTGAATCACCACTGAATGAGGAATGACCTCGAGGGATGCATGTGGGTATCTCCGAGGCCAGGCTGTCCGGACACAATCCCACCACCCTCCTCTCCACTTGCTCAAACTCCAGGCCCCCTTACAAACAGAGACAGTTACCGGAGGATGTGCTAAGTGGTCTGCGTGCACGGTGGCATTCAGCCTCACTGCATTCCCTTTCAGGCAAGGGTGTTTCCTGGGTCCATTTCACAGGAGCAGGAACTGAGGCACAGAGAGGTGAAAGCCAGCTGCCCAAGGTCACACAGCAAGAAGATGGAACAGCAGGGATTCGAACTCAGACCTGTGAGAGTCCACAGCTTCCCTCTTCTAATCATCCTATCACCCTACCTAAAATATAAACATCTCCAAGACAGGCTGCCATGGAAGCGTGGGCCACTCCTGCTGGGCTGAGGGTCCCAAGTGGTGTCAAGGCCCTGGGAGGGATGCTGTGCCCTGGAACAGCAAGAGGCCCCCCAGTAGGGTCAGGACCTCTCCGCTTCCTCCTTCCTCCTGCATAGACTAAGTATGAGTCCCAGCTCAGCCACTTACAAACAGGGGGACCTCTATGAGCCTCAGTTTCCCCTTTTGCAAAATGGAAACAGTGAAGATGTAACGAGCTCATGCAAGGAAGATGCCCAGTCGGGTGGCTGTCCACATCCTCAGCACCAGAGTAATAAATAACCAGATACACAGGGGGGCTGCAGGGGGCAGGGATTCCCGCCCAATTACACACACCTGTTAGGCAGGTGAGTAGCTTCTTCCATCTTCCTGGGAATTCCAGGACCAGCCCCACCCTCCCGGGCCCACAAAACACCTGTGTGAACCTTAGCTGGAGTTCCCACTCTGACCCCTGCAGACAGAGAGTCAAAATGACCCCCCCCAAGCAGAGGCCGGCGGAAGTTGACACCCACGTGGCCCTGAGGCGGAGCCTCCGCAAGGAGGAACAGTTCGTTTCAGTTAGTTTCGGGGAGTTGGTGACAGCGGGGCGGGTCACCAGCCCGGGCAGATAAGATCTTGACCGAGACAGTCCCTGGGAGAAGCGGGGGCGCGGCCGCACACCTCAGGTCCCCCGACCTCCGCCTGTCCCTGCCTGCGGGGAGCAGCCCCATTAGCCAGGGCTCGCGGAGCAGTGGCTGGCATGATCTTCATTTGTCAGCGAGGCGCTTCCTGCCCGCAAATCGGCCTTTGTCCCCTGGGGCCGAGGGTGGGGACAGGCCCGACCTCGGGGGGGCAGGGAGGAGGAGTCCAGTCCAGCCCGCCGGTCGGGCAGCCAGAACAGACAGGTGCCCGGAGGGTCAATGTCCCCACCCGGGGAAGGAAGGACGCCAGAGGGGCCTGCTCCGCGCGGGCCACTTGCCCGGACCCCACGCCCCTGCCTGCCCCGACCCCTGACACTGGGGCCACAGGGGCGCCCCGTTCTCCACTCTCTCGGCGGCGCGGCCCGAGCTGGGCTCCCGCGGGCGGTGACACCGTCCAAACCTGGGACGACTTC